AAGGCGAGCAACATGTGCCCAGCCGGCGAGCAATTTACCCGCCTGAAGTTCTGGGTGTTATAAAATGTCTTGGTAAACGGTCACCAAACCATGTTGAAGGATTTGATGTTTGCCTTTCTATGCTTTTAGCATACCAAGGGTTCCAGCTAATTGACCAATGCAGTCCCTGACATTCAGTGGCTGAGAGCCAAGAGCAAGACATAGAAAGGTTTAGCGCTGCCACGCGTGCATGGGCACGCATCAAACGCATGCATAACCGTTTTTTCACAAGCAGGCCGACCCCAGGGTGATGGTTGCGACGTATGTAGAGTAATTAACCACGATGGCTCGCTTGGCCATTGCATTGACACGCCACAAAGCAAACACACGCCAACTGCAAACTATTTGTTTTGTTTGGCTCAAACATACTGGAACTGAAAACAAACACTAATTGCTTCAATTGAGTGGCATCAATGCACCCCTGCCCCATAGAAGGGCTTTGCCTGAAACTCACAAGCCTCGATCGGCTTCCTTGATCAAGGACAAAGCCCGATTAAACGAAGCTCTTTCGTCGCCTTTGAAGGCGACCTTGCGGTCGCACCGATCTGTTCGGTGCATGAAGACTCTCCAGCAGCTCTGGGTGTCCGATCGGTGGATTTTGCCGCAGCGGTACCAAACAGTGCCCGCTCCCGGCGCCGGAGGCGCCGGGCGTTTTTTCTGTCCGGTGGTTTTGGAAGGTGTGCGCTTGGGTTTCGCCGCCGCTTGTTTTGGAGTAGCCTTGCTTTGGTGCGCGGCCTGCTGTTTGGGCGAAGCCTTGGCCTTGGCTTTTGCCTTTCCTTTTGCCTTTCCTTTTGCCTTTGCTTGCTTGCCGTCGTGCGCTTGATCATGCAGTTCTTTCTTGTCACCTTTCCGCTGGTCTTGGCGCCTTTCCATCGCCGACTGCATGATGTCGAACTGTTGTGCGGCCGTCGTGTTCACCGTGGCTTGCTGTTGCGTGAGCTCGAGGGCAAACGCTTGCTGGCCTTGCTGTTGCGCCGGTGCTGCCGACTGCTCCGGCTCGCTTGCCGGTTGGGCTGGTTGCTGTGGTGTGTGGACAGGGGTTGTTGGTGTCTCCTGTTGGCTATCAGATGATTGCTGCTGAATGTCCGAAGTTGGTGCTGTGGTGGAGCCATTCTGAAGGGCCAGTGGAGCCCGCGCGTTGTTAATGCCGCGCCTTGTTTTTCCTCTGGTCAGCAAACACCTGGAGCCCTGGAACTGTGGAGGACAAAGCAGACCCGTGCATCATGGTCTGGAAAGCGGACAAAAACTGGGTCATCATTGCTATTGGAGACTGCGTGCTGCCCTGTGGCCCAGCAAGGCTGTTCGTGTCGGAGCGCACTAGCCTTGAAGTCTTTCTCAAGGGGCGTTGCCGGGGAAGTCGGCAAGGTGTTGGGGTGCTGCTGGCACCTGCTTGAGCCTGGCCCTCAATTGTGTTTTGAAAGAATTTAGCAGTGCGTATCGGTCTTGGGGTGTGGTTGCGTTCGTGCCCAGCTCAATTGCTTCCGCCACTACGCGCCCTATTGTGCGCTCCGACGGAAGGTGGAGCGTGATGCTTACGCATCGCTCCACAACCGTCCGGATCTTGTGAAACGAGTGATCCTCGCTTATGAGGGCCGCACGGTCCCTGGGTGTGAGGAAGGAGCGGAATCCTGCCACCAGCGTTTGGTTGGGACGTCGGCCTTTGTTTGTGCCGGAGCCCTGCTGAAGTGTGGTTGAAAGGGCTTCAGCAAGCCGTTGCTTCGAAGCCGGATCCCATGGACCTGCTGCCACTGCAGCGGAAAGGGACGCCGCCTGATCAACCGAAATCCGGGCTGCTAAGATCCGAGTTGCCAGGGTGCTTTGCGCCTGCGTCACAGCGTCCCAGGACGCCGTTGGCAAAGACCCACGCTGAGTTTCCAAAAACTGGTTCATGTGAAGAAGGTCTTTGTGAAGTGAGGCCATATCTAACTACGCGGCTCCTGTGCACGACAGACGTGCGTGCGATCCTTAGAGATCGTCTTCCCCTTGCGCTTCCTCTTTGGAAGCAGGATCATCCTTCTTTGCCCTCTTGTTCCTGCTGGCTTCGCCAGCTGCTTGAGAAGCCAAAATTGCTAGGCGTACATGTTCCAGCACTGCAGCATCTAATTCAAGCCACATGTCTGGGCCTTTCACACTCCACAAAGCTTTGACCGATCGCTCAGGGAAGCACTCCCCCATGTGCTCCACTGCATGGAGGGTGACAGTGATGAAGCTGGACGCAAGATGTTTATCTCCAGGCCTGGCTGCTCGTTTGCGCTTAGGCTTCCCACCCTTGCCCTCCTTGGGGTCGTTGACATCGCTGCCATCCTGAGTGTCCCCGCTCAAGATGTCTTTGATGACCTCTGCGGAGGTGTTGTGGATCTGTTCTTGTAAGTCATCGAGAAAGGAGCATGAGATGTGGTGGCTGCGGCAAGTCTAGCACACGGCCCGTGACAAACCTGGTGAAGTGTCGGTCCCATCGACCCAGTTTGATGTAGTTGATGTTATTCACGCACTGGACGGCTGGTGACCATGGTGACTTGGAATTAAGATCGTTGGTCACTATGAAAACAGTCTCGACCTTTGTGTTGGTCGACGTGACCCGAATGGCGAGCTTTGTAGCCCTGCCGGCGAGCACTTGTGCCCGGCCTAACTGACTCTCGTCCTACTCAACAACGCAACTGGATCCAAATGGCTTTGTCATCAGACTCATGCACTGCTCAAAGACTCCAGCCTGAGCCTCTCAAACTGAATTTGGCTTGGGTGTGATGAACTGGCCACGATCTGCATGCAGTTTTCCGCTTTCAGACACAAGGGTGTAAGACGTACACGCGCGCCTCATAGATAAAAACAACTGCGCGTTGCGCGCCGGGATTCTCAGCCAGTAGACCGCATCATTCAATAAGGTATAGCCTGATGAGATCTAAATGAGGGTTTCCCATAATTGAACAGGTTCTTGTTTGAATGCGGTGGAGCAAACCCGGTGCCAAATCACGCAGAACGCTTAGTCCTAGCCCGCTTCGAGGGCTTTGGGGCTGGCTCATCAATCTTGTGGATGGGGGCCAGTTCACGAACAGGCTCCGTCTTGGCGCGGTACAAGCGCAGCTCGTCGCCTGCGCAAATCGCTGTAGAATTCCGCATCACCGGCGCCGCCACGCCGTTGTTCACCTGCGTCGCCATCTCCATGTTGGCGTCATCTTGCTGCTGCGTTAGCTGCACCATGAAGAAGGGACAAACTGCGCCGCGAGCATCATCCCGAGGAAGGGCCACCCACGGCAGAAGAGACACCCCTTGCGACGCCCCAAGCGCTTTGGCGTCGATCTTGCAAGTGACCGGCACAAGCACCAGCTGCTTCTTCTTGAAATGCGCCACGGCCACCACGCTCTTGCAAGGCTTGACCATGACCTTGACGCCCTTGAGCACTGCCTCGTGCTCTTTGTGGACCCCGTCCATCGCGCAGAAGATGCTGGACTTCACAAGCTGCACCTTGAACTCATGGTGGGAGGCCGCGTTGTGCTCGCAGTGATCGATCTCCACAGGGTCGGCCTTGGGGGTGTACTTGCTCCACTCGCCGTTGATGAAAGATCGCGCTTCCACCTTGCAGAGCACGCCGTCCACGCCCAGGATCACGTGGCCTTTCTCAAAGCCAACCGCTTGGGCGTAGGTCTTGTCCGCCTTTCTCACAATGTGCTGGCCCTCAGCAAAGCCTGCCTCCTTGACCAGGTCTGCAGGTGACTGCAGGCGCCCTGCCAAGTCATAACTCTGCATCCTGGGGGCTGATTTGTGACGTAAGGGTTCAACAGTTTGTAAATCTATATGGAAGAAGGCCGTTTTACAATAGGTGCATCTGAAAACACGGTTGTTCTTGCTTTCAAAGGTTCGCCACGCCATCGCGGCTGCCAGAAGAGGCAGCTGGCTCCTCTGTCTTGGGCCGGTGGCGCTCCCACTTGTCCGTGATGCGGACATTCACGTGCTGGAACACGCTGTCCACGAAGGCTTGCGCAGCCTGTTCGAAACTGGCTGCGTTTTTCCAGCAGCTGCAGTGCCTCTTGTCAAAGGCAATGGCCACCAGCTCCATCTCGAACTCGAAGAGGAGCTTCTGAAGCTTGCTCTGCTCCTCGTCCGCGAGCCTCGCCTCGTAGTAGGCCCGCATGTCGATCATCAGGTCGTCGCAGCGCAACGCCTTCTCCTTGAAGGCAACGGAGCTCATCTTCTTCACGTCGCCTGTGTTGATCACCTGGTCCGGCCCAACGAGGGCAAGCCGGAGCATAGCGTGCCGAAGTCGCAGGACCGGGGCGCCGCCCTTCAAGTCCCGGCCCAAGCTGTCCCAGAAACTGGGACGACCCCCCGCAGAGCTTAACGCATCGCTCTGTCTCAAGCAACGCTGCAGCCTCTGCCCCCCCACTGAACTTCATCAAGAAGGAGAAAATATGGGGGAGCGCAGCGCTGCAGCCTGGCCTGCTGCGCGTCACCCGAGCCCTCACGTCCGAGTAGCTCACACCACTGGGTTGAGGCACTCATAGTGAAGCCGCCGTGCCAGTTGCGCCCGGACGTGTTCCCGGCCTCTTGAAGGATGTTCGCGAGGATGGGATACTGCGTCAGGACCAAGCTCAAGATCACGGTCCACACGATGCCTTCCTGCGCCGCCTTGTAGAACAGCGGGCCCACCTTGCCCAACTGTTCACCCAAGATCCGGCCACCGACCGTCACGTCGGGGCACTCACCGTCCTCGATGTGCTCGTGATGCCAGCCGTAGCTGATCAATCGCAGGACCTGATTCGTGTGCGACGCGCTGAGCGTCGCGTACCGCCATCCTCCCACCTCCACCGGGGCCAGCAGCCCACCCGCGTCCTCCACCATCTTAAGGTTGTAACGCTCGACCTCGGCGTCTCCAGAGCTCTCAACGCACAGCGGCTTCACGCACGCGTCGTTCCACCCCACCGCCAGGATTCCGTGCAACAAGGAATGCACATCGTTGCCGGAGCAACCATAGCCATCTCTGTTGCGAGGATGGCGCACTACGTGCCGGCTCTGGATCCTCTGCTGGTACGTAAGCTTGTGCTCCTCCAGCAGAGCAACCAGGCGTGCCGCCGAGGTCACCAAGGACCCCTTCTCAGCCTTCCCAACCAGGCCTCAATTGCCTCACAAACCTCAGGCGCCAGAGACATGGCGCAGTTGATTGGTTGCTCCTACTTCAGCCAACGCAAAACTGCGTGAAGACATGTTTGTATGACATGCTCCTTCCCAACTGATGCCACAGGCAGGCGCTACACGCCAACGGTTTCCCTATATCAAAAGATGGCGCTTGCAAGGAAACCCGTTTTTGCATCCCTCGAAGCACGCAGCTTCAAATCCAGGCGTCTTGCGCCTAATTTGTTTCTATACAGCACTATCACTAAGCAGGTCGGTGGTTCTGATGCCCTCCTTCCAGCGAAACATTTGGGCCTCGAAGAAGCGCTTTGACCCAATCTCCGGTCTTGGTGTCGGAGGCCCATCAACGGGCTGCATCTTGTAAGCCAAGTAAGACGGCTTGCCCTTCATGACCGCAATGATATTGCACCGTTTTGCGATCGCATTGGTGGTGGGTTCCTTGTCCTCCAACACGTGCTGCTCCATGGCAGAGATTCGTCTATGGATTGGTCTTAGGCTGGCCCAGCTACCTCTACACACATCATCCAATGGCGAGCAGAAATGCCCGGCCGGCGAGCAACTTGCGCCCTGCCAAATGTCATGCCCTCCTGTCGTGGTTTAAACATGCATTTGTCCGCGCTCCGCCCTCCCTCCCCCCTCCCCCCCCCACCCAACATGCTAACCCCTCTCCTCTCTCAATCTCTCTTTCTCTCTCTTTCTTCGCTGTTTCTCGCTGTTTCTTTCTCTCTTCCCTCCAAGCCGTTTTGAAGACCAGTAAAAAGCCTTTTCGTCAACATACAAGTAAATGTTAGTCCCTTCACCCAATAACAATCAAACGCGGCCTCCATGAACTCCACCCCCTACTTAAGCAACGCCAAGAACAATAATTTATTCATGAGGGGGCCATGCACCGCCAGCTTTGGGGCGTCCATGCATCTCATTTTCCCAAGAAAAGTTGTTGGGGTAAATCGTGATTTCAGTATCGGTTCCAAATTGGGCTCTTCATTTAGCATTGGTCTTGGAAATCAAATTCAATGATCAGGGGTGCCTTGATTCTTAAAATGAAAGGAATGTTAATTCCAAACCTGGCTCAAACGACGCCCCGTTACATTAATTGCAAGGCCCTGTTTTTGGCGGGGACACCTTTTCGAAAGCTGAGGGTTTCAGAAATATTTTGGCAGGGAAGTTGATGGGCAAACAAGAAACTTCCCCATGTGATATTCTATTACGATCCCCTTTCTCTTCTTGGATCCTTTGCTTCAACCAACTGGCCAACCCCCTGAAAAAAATGCGTTTCTGAAAAAAACAATGGGTGAAGAGAATGGGACCTCAACCCTGATGAATTTGAGGGCCTGCCGAGCCGATCGAGCCGATCTCGCCTGCTTTGGCAGGCAGCGGCGCCGCAGCAGCGCCGGAGGGCGTGCGTGGCCGAAGGGGTGGCGCGGGAGGGCCTTCTCCCTAAAACCAAACTATTTTGTACACATATATGTTGTTTCCAGATGCAAACATCAAAGCAAACGGTCCCTTTATAGACTCCCATTAAATAATATAACACACGTAGTCTAATTTGCAATTTTGAACTTGGTCGGAACAATGGCAAAACACCGAGAATCCAACGAGGTGGGGCATGGGGCATTCGAAACGAACATGGGTCCTGGTTTGGGCGCAACATAGCTCATAGACATATATATATATATGTAGTGTTTCATATATATTGTTATATGCAAACATTAGATGAGGTCAAAAAAACAACATGACATGGAAGTGGCTGGAAAGTACACACAATGATCCCCGGCAGAAAAAAACATTGTGAACAAGTCCAAACATACATGCTTGCATCCATCTTGTAAACACAAGCAACATGGTGGAACATGGGAAAACCGTGCAAGGGAATTTCAATTTTCAATCTCAAGGCAGGGGTGGTTTACAAAAAAACACAATCTGTGTCTCAAAATCAGATTTCCCCAAAGTTGCAAGGGACGCCCAAACATGTTTGCGCCGCTTTGACACGCTGATCATGTTGTCAACTATCACAAAATTGGTTGGCGGTGGCATCGCCGCATCTTGCTACAATATTAATATGAGATACACCCTTCTGAAAAACAACATCCTCTATAAGAAACGCTCACATATCACTGCACAAAATCACTGCTGTTCTTGCGCGGTTGTTCGCAACATAAACCTTTTAGGGGGACTTAGCTATGTAGGATTTGGCAGACTTAGCTAAGTGCCCCGGCGGACTTAGCTAAGTCTCCCGGAATACTTAGATATGTGCTCTAATCTACACAGTGAGAATGTATAAGTAATAGCTATCTACGCGCGTATGTGCCATATATAACATGGGTTACATGCTAA